CTTCCATCGCTACGTCTTGATTTTTGGGCATCAAACGCAGCAGTTTCTAAATCATCCACACATCTCTTCAAATTTGACTAATACGTCCCGTCACCTTCCACTACGCCCCGCCGAGTCTATCTATTAGTGGAAGATGACGGGACGTATTGGTCAAATTTGAAGAGATGTGTGGATGATTTAGAAACTGCTGCGTTTGATGCCCAAAAATCAAGACGTAGCGATGGAAGGTTGTAATGGGAGTCCATTCTGAAATTATGGGCGAGAATGGGTAAAAGACTGACGAGATAACTTGACTTACAGTTGAAAGTTATGAAAATTTGCTTTATCTCACAGCTGGGGACCAAAACGCCGCTAAAACGAGGTACTTTGTACACGAAAACAATGTATCGACTGAAAGGTATTTCTGTGAAGCTTTGTACGGAACAAGTTTGAAGAAAAACGGTGAAGTGTGAGACTCACAATCCTTGATTTTCAAACACTGGGGTAGGTTTTAAATTCAAATTAACGGTTTTTCGGGACGGAGTGGTTTCGATACGTCCCGAAGAGATACTACCGCGTGTAACCGTCGTGGAGGTATGAACCGCGGTAACCGCAAGCCACGGTTAACCGTGTGACCCCTAGTTTGTACGAGTTCCTCACTGGAATACCCCCATTTAATGACCAGACTCCTGAGCTGGTTTTCCAGAACATTCTCAATAGGGGTAAATATACTTCATTATTTCATAATACTACTGTTTTCCCTTGGAAATTAAATCATATTTTCTATCATGAAATCATATTCATTCAGAAAAATCATATTCACCCTGGAAAAATCATAGTCTGCAGAAAAAAATTGTATTGGGATCCAATTCACTGCACTCAAAACTTGAAGTGAAAAAACAATTTTGGTCGCCTATTATATATAAATCTAGCTCATTAAACCCTTGGTATTAGTCAATGGAGGCGGTATATGAATACCATATTCGTCACGGAAATAATTACACATTATATGCATAGAGTGTTTTGCAAGAAAGTATTATACCTATATGTGGCGATGTCGAGTTTTCACAAAACAAGAGAACAAATGTATAGTTAAAGAATTTATTTATAAGAGAAATCAGCTACTTACAGGTTTTGGTTCGTTCAAGCAACAAGGTTTTGAGGTTTCACTGCCAAAATTCCTCTTTTATATCTCAAATTTTGAGGTGGGCAAAGCTGAAATAAGAAGTCTTATCGAATAAAATATTTAAAGTCCCCGTCTAAAGTTTGAAAATATTTTTTTATCTTTCATTTACTATTTGTCAGGACTTAAAAAGTGATTTTAGAGATTTTTGAACAAAAAACGATTTTTGAAAAAAAAGTTATGAGCATTTCATTTCTCAAATATTCAAATTTCCCGCCATTTTTCAAAAAAAGTTGAAATTTCTTAATCATCAAATATTTCTTAATTCATTTCAAAAGAGATTATCTATTTAACACCAATGCAAAGATTGAACAAAGGACACAATATTTCAATAATAAAATGCCATATTTAATGGGCCAATTCAATGTTTTAGCATATCAAAAATATTTTGAAACATTAGTGATGTCACTAAGGTACCAAAAACTTTTTGAAAAAAATTGAAATTTTTTTTTCGATGTCAATCTTTTCTAAATATGTTAGACTTCATAAAAAACCAATGTTGATTGTCTAACCAGGTTAAAAGGAAGAATAAATTATGTTTTAGATATCATTGTACCATTGGTTTCTATGAGAACTAAAATTTTGAAATGCATTTTTCTCAGAACCATTTTTATGCACTGATAAGTTCATTTCTCGCTTATTTATGAACCGATTTTCTTAATTTTTTTCGGCAAAAAACATGGGAGGATGAATGTTATAGATTGGTATGAATTGTGGCTAATTAGAAGATATGAGTGACCTCTAAAAGTTGGTTTTAAATAAATTCACAAATTTTGGAACAAAAAGTCTATCAAAAAACATTTTTTGAAATTAAAAAAAAAAGTTTCACATATCACACTTTGATAACATTGGGTAAGACTACAATATAAGCCAAAGTGGTTTAAACTTTATATGGGGCCTTTAAGAAATCAATACTAAAGTTGGCCAATGACACATGTGAAATTTTATAAAAAGTCATCAAGAAATAGTGATGATTTTCTACCTGCAAAGCTTGAATGTTTACCAAAAGTGTGAGAATTTGGTAGGTTTTGGTGAGAAAGGAATGTCAAGACAAAACCTTTGAGCAACGTCTTGTGAACTCTGGATTATAAATTTTGATTTAGATTAAATAGGTATTAACATTCATTAAGTATACAGCAATATCAATGTGTTTTGGTAAGTTGAACTCAAAGTCTTTAAAGTTATACTAAAACCATCATCAGAATCTCATTAGAATGCTAGTGATATTTCACTGAAGAACTTTTACATTTGATTATGTTATTTCATGCCAGACATGTGAGTTCAAAGATCATTAAAGCAAATATTAAGTAACATGATTTCACAACAAAATAGGATATAGAGAACTTCATAGAACTATAAAGTGGAGTCACTGTTTTTGATACCTCAAATATATTACTTTCCAACACACAGAGTTATAAATATAAGGGATTTATAAACACGCTATATAAGTGAGTTGTGAAATCTCTTTGATACCTCAAATATATTACTCATTCGAACACACAGAGTTATAAATATAAGGGACTTATAAACACACTATATACACAGCCAATATAATTCGGCGCCGTTTCGGCATCGAAAACATTCGGTGCTGTTCCGGCACCGTTTCGACACCGTTCCGGTGTCAAAGAAATGATGGTCCCCCAGGGATTATAGTCCCCTTTCTTAACGGCCCTTACTGGCCCTGATTGTGTATAAGATAATGAGGGAAAGAGTTGTATTTAGGTCACCATATAAATCAATGGAGGGTAGGACCATAATTTGATAGGACCTCCTACCCTTTTACACCGGCACCGAAACCTTTGAACACCAAAATTTGCCACTGGACTACGGCACCGAAATTTGGCACCGAAACGGCGTCGAAAATCAGATAGCATTTTGGAAGTGTAAGTGAGTTGCATAATCTCTTAAATATTCTAAAATATATTACCTATACCAACAAACAGAGTTATAAATATAAGGGATTTATAAACATGCTATATAAGTGAGTTGCGAAATCTCTTTAATATTCTAAAATATATTACTTATTCCAACACACAAAGTTATAAATATAAGGGATCCATCATTCATAAACACGCTATGTAAGTGAGTTTTGAAATCTCTTTAATATTCTAAAGTATAGCCTTATCCTAACAAACAAAGTGTTTGAATAATATTGAGAAGCTGTTTGTCTAACCACACTTGATAGGAATTATACTCAAAAGGAATCCAATATGGCTGCTCAGTTCAAATGACTGCAGTTTTTCTTAAAAATGATTAGATTTGGTTATTTTTGGGAAATAATGAACATGTCATTTTTTATCAAATTTGGACTAAATATAATAGGCTGACTGAGGGAATAGAATTTCTGCTAAAATATCCAATACGACACTCAATTCAAAATAATAAAATTTAACTGTATGCTTATATATGATGCTCAGGAAAGAAAGAAAATACTGTGTATGTATAGCTCCTGTACTTTGTTTGTTGTAAAACATGATGCCTTGGACACCTGCTTAAAAGACATTTTACTGGAAAAATATGAAAATGCTGTCAGGGTGACTGAAACCCCAAAAAACTAAATAACTCTCAACCATAGTGTTTTGGCTCTATGGTTAAAAAGTTGTTTGGTTTTATTTCTGTGGCAGTCACCTCTGACTGCATTTTTCGAGGTGGGCAGCTGTCCAAGGCATATCACCACTCAGGCGTTGTTTCCTTAACTTTGCATTCCCACTGTGCAGTCATGCAAATATTTGGAAACAACACCAAGTTCAACTGAATGACACCTTCAATGGAATCAAATGAATGAGTCCAGGTCTTAAATCCTTAATTCAACAACTATATGAAGTAAAATTATACAAGCACTGATTGAGTATTTTGTTCAAAACTGAATACAATATTAAGCAAAATACTCAATCGACCAGGCACCAGCCGATGAATTGCAGCAAGTGTGACCCAGGCATAAACTCTAGTCTAGTACAGCTGTGAGTTTTGTATGAGATGTGTTATGTCTATATGACCTAAAACCTAGTTATATGTTGTGTCTATGTGTATATGACCTGACACCAAGTAAGTACTTTTTGACAATCTTATCTTCAAGTATGATAAATGAGTTATTGCTATATACTCTCTTGTTAGTAAAGATCAGCATACACTCTGATCAAAACATTTGTGCATCAACTGAATTGTCTAAAGTTCTTCACATTAAAAACGTGGGTCCAATTGAGATCATGTTGCTATTCCCTGCCAGAGAGCTCTTACAATTCCATTTAATTGTACAGTTTCCAAAGGTTTCATTAGGATACAGAACATCAGACACTTCTTGTCTAAATTAAGTAACTAGAGAAAATATTTTCGAAAATAATTGCCCACATATAGGACTTTCACACTTAGTTGTAACTTCAGTTTCTTAATATAAACCCTTCCAATTCTTCAACTTTTTACGATAAATTAAGATCAATTTCAATCTGATTAGATCAAAATCAAAATTTGAAAAGAAAATTGAACAGAAAATGCATGTAGCTGACAATTCTTCTGTGTTAGTATGAGCACATATAAGAATGATAAGTAAAGTTCTGGTTGTGGTGATTTATGTCAACGTTAAAGTACATCCTTGGGACCAGTCATTTTTAAATTTATTGAATCCTTCAATCAAAATCCTCTCCATTGGAGGAACTCGTCCTTGAAAGAACTGTTATTATAGTTCATAAAGATACAAATCATTTTTAAAATCTGTAAATATTAGATGATGATGCACAAAATTTTTGACCATAGGGTATATATTATCCCTTCACATATCAATGTCGACCAAAACTGAATCAAATAAACCAACTGTTGAACTAGTGATTTATATATTAAGAATCACATTGGTATACAATATTTAAGATGGATTTCACAGGACTTTTTATATCAGTTGTACTGTGTTCATCTCTTTGTGAATGTGGAAATATTCTCGTTGTACCAGTGGATTTTGGCTATAACAGCAGAATGAGAAATATGATAAAAATTGGACGAATTATGTTGAATGCAGGGCACCAAGTAACCTTCTTGCTTTCTGACCAGATTGAACACGATGCTTTGTATAAAATGGGCGAGACGAGTACTATGAACAAAACATTCAATGTTATACATTTCAAGAAGCCACCTGTTGATGTATCCAAAGACATGAATTCTTTGAATCAGGATTTTATAAACAGTTTGATGGGTAATGCTGTGAATGCATTTGACAATGTACTACCAATATATTCGGATTTTATTTCCTTACCTCTGGAGGACAGAAGTATTTGGAAAAAATTTGCCAGGTCAAAGTTCGACTTGATAATAAGCGATGAGCGTATGTTTGTTTCAAGGGTTATAAGTGCAAGTTTCAATATTCCATTGATTCTCTATGAAAATTGGGGACCGATGATTTTTGATACAAATCTTGTACAAAGATTCAATCTTGCATATGTTCCTGCTTTCCTTCACCCATCCTCTGACATTATGTCTTTCTCAGAAAGAGTTTACAATGTTTGGGAGTACTATAAACTAAAAGAAGTGAACAGGAAAGTTTACAGTATATCTGTTGCAATATGTAAAGAATTGGGTTATGGAGATGCCTGTGATAACATAAACAATGCTGAAAAAACTGTCTCTCTGGTCTTTATGAACAGAAATGATGCACTTCATTACCCACTTCCCTTAATGCCACATGTTATATCTGTAGAAGGATTTTTCCTCGAAAACCCAAAGCCTTTAGATCGACACTATGCCAACATTATTGAGAAAGCTGGAAAACATGGGATAATTGTTGTGAGCTTTGGGTCATTGTTCCGTAGACTCTGGCCAGAACTTCGGACCACATTTGCCAAAGCATTTGCTGCAATGCCACAAACTGTGATTTGGAGTTACGAAGGCCCTACACCAGAAGGTCTTGGAAATAATACGATATTGAGTAAATGGATACCTCAAGAAAGCCTATTGAATCACCCTGCTACTAAACTATTTGTGACACAGTGTGGAGCTTCATCAAGCTTTCAAGCTTTGCATTACGCCCTCCCTGTAATTGGAGTACCATTCTTTTTTGATCAGCCTTTCTATTGCCAGAAACTCTCCCATAGAGTAAAATCTGGTCAAACTGTTTCTGTGGAAGGAATCACCATGGAGAAACTTCAACGAGCCATGAAGGAGGTTATAGAGAACAAAAAATACAAGGTGAATGCTGAAAGAGCTGCTGCTATATACCATGATCAACCCATACCACCAAAGGACAAACTTGTCTACTGGGCTGAATATGTAATACGCCATAAGGGTGCACCCCATTTACAATCCCAAGCTGCTAATGAACTGAATTTCTTCCAATATTATTTGCTCGACATTATAGCACTAGTGTGTTGTGTTTGCATTATCATTGGAACAGTTCTGATAATTATAGCCAAGAAAGTCATTTGCTTCATATTCTCTTATCAGAAGGTCAAATATGATTAATAAACTATTCACACATAGCTAGGCAAGGTGTGTCCGATTCTAGACAATTAGAGGACAATATTTCATATAACTGCATTGCATTATATAACCAACAACTCACACAAGGGGTCATTTTAGATCCAAGTGAAACCAATGAAACTGATAAGCTTATAAACTTAGTTTTGTAAAAATCTGAACTGAATTTCTTCCAATACTATTTGCTCGACATCATAGCACTAGTGTGTTGTGTTTGCATTATAATTGGAACACTTCTGGTTATTATAGCCAAGAAAGTCATTCTTTTCTTAGTCTCTTATCAGAAGGACAAATATGATTAATAAAGTAATAATTGCTCGATATTAAAATCGATGGCTTTGAGGCACAAATCTGTCCTTTTGCAGGATAAACTGAACCATGAGTAATGACTTTTATATGTCAATTAGCTTTTGAAGTTTTAGTTTTTATCACTTGAGATGCTGAATGATGTAGGAATTGTTTAAGAAATTGGCACTTATCTCATAATTTTTTCACTACACACCTTTTGAGGTTCCAGCTACAATATAATGTTGAGAAATAGATATTGAATCCAACCATAGTTTGATCTTGATGATCATTGTGAATTATTCTGTTTTTTGGATTATGGCTATGGCTTGGGGAATGGTTGTTGGCCCTTTGAAATGCCTATGGACTTCAAGACCTAATTTTGTCTTTCCCGCATCATTTGAAAGTGATTATGCTCTATTTGTATGAGTACTTTTATCTACATATCTATTTTTGATGTTACACACTTAAACGTAACTTCATTCAGTGGTGGAGGGTGGCCCTCAAGGGAGGTACATGGGCTGACCAGGGTACTATCCTCTATTACTGAAATTATGATTAATATCTAACTATTCTGGATGTACATTACCAATTTTGGGGAAGGTATAGAGTTAAAGTAATGTGTAACAATTTTTCTAGTTCTAACGGAACCAACCTTGGGGAAGGTACCCTTTATAAAGCTGATTTAATTCTCTGGTTTTTAAAGTATTTCTCTGTATATATATACCAAGCTCAGGGAAGATATGTTATATTTCTTAGGTGCAACATTTTTTAATCCCGAATTTATGGATACTCAAATTTGATGTAGTTGTATAATATGGTAGAAATATGAAAGTCCGGTGGTGGTTCCACTACAGATTCAGAAATGCAGAATATAGAAATACCCCCAGACTACACCCTTAAACAACAACAACATTATGATATATTTAATAGAGAGATTTCGCATGGCGTGAAAGTACAACTTATAACGTATACTTATACTTATAACCAAAAGTACAAGGTGTTTCATAATGTGGGCTTTTCGTCAGGAAAGATCCTCTCGGACTGTAATAAATAAAGGTCAAAGGGATGCCATTTGTTCTTTCTTGAATTGTAGCATGTTTAGTTGATCCAAATGTGTTTGTCTAGAATAAAATAGGCTCATATATAGTACGTATGTTATAGACCTATCTCTTCTCAAATTGACTTTTTGAGATGCTCGTTATGAAACACCCTGTATGTCATTTGTTGAGCTACTGAATGGGTATCCAGGAATTGCTAGAACCTACTGGTTTGATTGGTGTTTCAAATTGATGGTTAAAGTATTTGATTGGATACTGTTCCTACTCAGCCAATTGGTCTTAAAAAATGCTTGCGGTCAATTGTTCCACACACATGCAGGCAAAGCTTTATACGGAGATCCAACTGTATACGTTTATCATCTCGTATATATACCGTTTTGTAAGTTCATTGAACTTATACTCTATTTGTATGAGTACTTTTATCTACATATCTATTCTTGATGTTACACACTTAAACGTAACTTCATTCAGTGGTGGAGGGTGGCCCTCAAGGGAGGTACATGGGCTGACCAGGGTACTATCCTCTATTACTGAAATTATGATTAATATCTAACTATTCTGGATGTACAGTACCAATTTTGGGGAAGGTATAGAGTTAAATTTGTAATGTGTAACAATTTTTTTAGTTCTAACGGAACCAACTTTGGGGAAGGTACCATGTTTAAACGTAAACCATGATACCATGGTATACCATGGTTTACCATGGTCTATCATGATTGGCCATGAAATTACCATCAACTCTGACCATGGTGGCAATGATGTTTTTTTGGTCAATTTTTGACCATGGTATAGCATGTTATACCATGTTTCATGGTATTTCATGTTCAAAGTTAACCATCAAATACCATGATATTATCATGGTATTTCATTGCCATGTTCCTGACCATCATTTACCATGGTATTACCATGGTATATCATGGTTGATTGCATTTCATGGCATTTCATTGTAAGGTGTGACAATCAAATACCATGGTATTATAATGCCATGTTCCTGACTATAATTTACCATGGTATATCATGGTTGATGGCATTTCATTATAAGATGTGACAATCAAATACCATGGTCATACCATGGTATTTCATTGCCATGTTCCTGACCATCATTTACCATGGTATTACCATTGTATATCATGGTTGATGGTATTTCATTGTACGATGTGACAATCAAATGCCATGGTCATACCATGGTATTTTATTGTTATGTACCTGACCATCATTTACCATGGTATTTGTCTAGAAGTCTTTTCAAGGTTCTTAATTAAAATTCGTAAGCTTCCAAAATCACCTACATCTTGCTACCTGCACACACTACATACACCATCATAACATCTCATACCCAGTTCACACTTCCTCATGTCTCTACCTTTTACCTTGCTAATTATTATTCACTAGAGCAGTATGCCAAAATTCCTGTTTAAAGTTAATTACTTAATAAGTAAGCAATAAACAAAACTCAAGAATGTGTTATGATTAGCTTAATAGAATACATATCATGACATTATCCCCCTTTTTAAAAATATACTTTATGAAATAAAATATATAATATACTCATAGTAATGATATGTAAAATTACAAAAAATCTAACATATTTACAGATCAAACTTATGTCATCTACCTGTCTACAACTACTATTACATAAGTTCTTCTTCTGATATGTAAAAATACAAAAATGACTAACATATTTACAAATCAAATGTAATCTACATGTTTACAACTACTACTACACAAGTTATTCTTAAACTTAATAATAATCTCAAAATCTTCACACTAAATATAAGGATACAATATTAATCCTCTTAGTTTCACAATGGAAGAAGATACATTTCAAAATACTCCTCTTATGTAGTCATTTTTATGACTTCAATTACAAATACTTAGCACAATCCACTTCTATTACTATCAGTAAATAAAGAAAATACTCTTACAACTACTTTTTATTATTATTTTTTTTATTTTTTATTTACAACTTTACACTGTAACACCTATATGTATGTATGCATACCATCCTTTGTCTTATCTATATGTGTTTAGACTAATCTACTCAAAAGATCTGCTCCAATATTGTCTTTGCCATGGATGACTTGACCGGTGTATTTGTATTGCTGTAAAAACAGCGACCACCTCATGACACGAGAGTTCTTGTGTTTTGCAGATTCTAAATATAGTAATGATTGGTGATCAGTCTGAATAACAAATTCAGTTCCATAAAGGTACTTTTGAAACTTTGTTATACCCCACACTATAGCCAAACATTCTCGTTCAACGGTGGAATAATTTCTCTCCCTTTGGCAAAGTTTTCTGCTACCATACAGAACTGGGTGTAGTTTTTCTTCATGTTCTTGCATCAATATTCCACTAACTGCTACATCAGATGCATCCGTTCGAAGAATGAACTGTTTGTGAAAATCTGGAAGCTTTAGTATTGGTTCTGTACTTAGAATGTCTTTGACTTCTGTGAAGGCTGCATCATGTGTATTGCCCCACTTTAGTTTGTTTGGTGAACTTTTCTTTGTAAGATCAGTAAGAGGTGCTGTTATATCAGAATACCTTGGTATGAACTTCTTGTAGTATCCAACAGTACCAAGTAGTGATCTTAATTCTGTTTTGTTTGTAGGGTTCCTTGCTTTGAGCATCTTTTCAACTTTCTCATGTTGTGTTGCTAAAGTTCCTACTGCAACTCTATGGCCAATAAAGTCCATGTCATTGTATCCAAAGAAACATTTTGATGGCTTTACTGTCAGATTAGCTGCCCGTATCCTTCTAAACATCTCTCTGAGAATTTCCACATGTGTTTTCCATAATTCAGTGTGAATCAAAACATCATCGACGAAATTCTCTACATTTTCCATTCCATTTAGCAGTTTCCTCATCATTCTATTGTATGTAGCAACTGCATTGATGAGTCCAAAGGGCATTTTAACAAAACGCATACTGCCTAGTGGTGTGTTGAATGCTGTTTTATCTCTATCTTCTTCTTTCACATAAATTTGCCAAAAACCCTTGCAAAAATCCAACTTTGATTTGTAATGACTATTTCCAAGTTTGGCAAAGATTTCATCCTCATTTTGCATAGGTTCACAGTCAAACACTGTAACTTTGTTCAGTTTCCTGTAGTCCATCACTGGTCTTCCATCTGGACAACCTTTTTTCTTCACAAGAAACATCTGAGCACTGTATGGACTATTTGCTCTTTCAATTACCCCAAGTTCCGACATCTCTAATATTAGGCGTTTTACAATTTCTACTGATTTGTGTGGTAGTTGAAAGGTTTGTCCCTTAACTGGTTTATCTGTTGTCAGTTTAATTTCATGTTCCACTAAAGATGTAGAGCCTGGCTTGGATGAAAAAATATCTTTGAATTCTTCTACCAATCTTTCTAACTCATCAGTATAACTGTGACATAAATCAGGATTGATGCTCACTTCTTTGTATGTTTCTTCCTTTTCACCTAGCATTTCTTCTTGTAG